TTACTAGTATGAACTATATGATTCAAATTGTAACATTATATGAAGCACTAATTAGATAACAAATGATAACAAATGAACTGAAAAAACCACAAAGTCGAAGACTGTCTGTGATGTGCGACTAGCCTATGGTAAATAGTATCGATCAATAGTGCATGAAGCCAATGACAATATATTCCCACCTTCAAATCTGAATTTTATAGCAAATAAGCATGTTTAATATACATACCTAATTATTGAAAATGGGAGATTAAAAAATGGGGGGTATGTAGAAAATAAGTGCAGAAATGTTGGTAAAACATTATGAATACAGAGTAGTGTTTTCTGTGGTTTGTTTAATTATACATTAATTCGTTTATTATTTGAAGTAATTCTTCAATAAGAAACTGGTCTACATTTGAATATTCGAGTAAATATTTGTCAATTTGGTGCATATCTCAATCAACTCATCCCTTAAATATGTAGATGAATTATACGAAGGATTTTTTTCTACCAAAACTAAAAAGCCAATCAGAAATAACCGCGAATTGATTTTCATTGGCATTGATAAATTAGTTATCATATCATATACACACAAAATTATAAAACAAAATCTAATCATTTCTTATCGATAACGCACCGTGTGAGTTTTGTGTCAACCAGGAATGACCTTTGGTTTTTCTTTACCTTTCAGAAGCAAACTTGGACGTGCCGTGCACGGAATCATTGTGAACACGAACTGATTAGGTTGTGGCTATGAGAACGACATGAAGGATACGATACATGAGCATTTTAGACCACCTCTAATAGTAAAATGTGTGAACTGGGCGAACTGGGTCACGAAAGAAAATGAAAATAATCATTTTCCGTATTAGTATATTATTCAACGAACGAGAAATGAGGCCATTACTTCCGAGAATGAAGCTTATCGACGCGATCCGAAGGCGAATATCGTAAATCTATACCTACTTTTTCTATGACATATCAGAAATATTCCTAAAGAGAGTGTTGCGTTTGGAATAAGTAATTTTATTAGAATAAAATCTAAGCAAATCTTCTGAGGTGGGGTGGGAGGCGGGAGACTTCAAAAGATCGACTTTTGAATGGATGAATATTTTTTTTTGATAATTGTAGATCCGTTTGTGTTATTGTTGAATCAGTCTTTTGGAAGGAAGGAAATCATCCTCTACAAATCTGCCCATCTTTAGAGAAGGATCAACTGAAGACGTTTTATCCCTTTGAAGACATATAGAAGACGAGGTTGGTCGATCTTTTTCTGCAGAATTATATATGATTTCAATACATTACTTTTCTGTTATCTTATAAATCCGCTCATGCATTTTGGGAACCGTAACAGGGTAAGAGGTAATATACAATAGGGTTCGCCCAGGTGCCCTGAGGCGGTACGATCACATCATTTTATATCCTCGGCAGTCCTCGGCACGGCCTCACCTTAACTTGGGTAGTAATTTGGTAATATGTGCGCCATTTGTTTCAGCTTAAAGCTTACTTGTCCGTGACGGAACACCGTTCCGGGTTTGATTTTGGAGTTTTCCGTCTCCTAGACAGGTTGCAAACCAATGCCCATCTTACCAAATTACACAAATCATGGTATGCCTGTTACTACTGCCGACCGTTGAGAAGTTCTCTGGTTTGGAGCCAACCCTGAAGGTGACAGCAATGGTGGACCCACTAACTGTCATCCATGCGTGTGCAAAATTTCATGTCCCTACTCTTAACCGTTGAGGAGTTCCTTCGTCTGGAGCCAATCCTGACAGCAGCATCACGTCATGCTTACCATAAACATGCATTGTCATCGGGACTGGACCAGTATGTAAAATTTCAGCTCAATCAGACATTGGGAAGTGGGTCAAATGTAACTCGCAATATTCCACCGTTACATACAAATATACATTCAAGTTGAATAAAAACTTTTAAATGATGAAAAATAGGATTTTATTTGTCTCGAACAATTCCAAAATTGTAATAGATTAAAACACACATATCAAATGTATGTTCGGGAGAACACTATCCAAAATTGTGTCCTGATTTGAAGTTTTGAATCGCGAAACTGAAATTGAACACTGAAATGGAATTTATTGTGAGGAGAGAAATATTAATTTTAGTTATTTCCTCGGACAGTGAAAATCAGTCTTCCAGGCTGAGGTGTATGAAATCTAGCAATGCGCAAGGAACATTAATTTGAGGTCTCCACGAAATGAGCGGATCAATGTTTTCAAAGACAGCTTTTGGGCACTGACGAATTTAAAAGTGACATCGAGACTGGTCTAAGAATGTCGTCGCGAACTGAGGAAACTAGCGGACAGAAATAGATTGATTCTATACTGGGTGCTAGGGTACTCAAGCTTCGCAGGCAATGAAAGAGCTGATGAGTGTACCAGACACGGATCATCAACTCCATATATAGGCCCTGAAGAGAACCTAAAAATTGCTTCAACAAAGCAAGGATCACAGGGCTGCTCACCGGACACTGTTCACTGAGAGAACACATGAACAAAATAGGGCTGTACAATGCATACCTCAACTGCAGGCAATACTACAAAGGGGCAGAGACAATTCATTGGTTCCTATGGCAACTTTCACTATCTTCGAAATTATTACTTTGAGAAACAACAAGAAAAAATAGACTCAAATAAAAAATTGTCATCTGAATTTCGAAAAATCTTCAAAGTTTGACGGAAACGAATCTATTCATTATCACACGGTTCAATTTGTGTTACAAATTGAAATTGGAGGATTCATTTCACTAAACCATTCACGTATTTCGTGATGCCATAAGTTAACTTATGCAAGTTGCATATTCACGTTATCCAGTTTGGAATTATCAGTAGCATCATTAGGCGTCATATTTTATCTGACTGTGGAAAATGTATATGAGTTAGGCGATGAAAAACTTGTTTTTTAAGGTAATCAATGGTGCCTTTGACTTGTATAATGAAAAATATTCGTAAAAAATACAGTAAGAGAAATTAGATCATGCAAAATGAGAAATAAAACTTTCTATGTCTTTAACCACATTTATTTGTAACTAATGTTGTTGAAGCAGTTTATTGTAATTATTTAAAAATATCCTTATATGACGAAACTGCAGTAACAACATTAGTTATAAATGAAAGTGGTAAAAAAACATAGATTGTTTTATTTTTCATGATGATTTGCTACCACGAGTACCTAACGGCTACATCCATCAATTTATGAAAATCAGATGATTTACTGATATACACCTGTGGTATCATTTTCCAGAAAATATGAATTGTATCACTACTTTCACTAAATATATACGTACTTGATTTATACACGTTTACACATCTAATTGATTCAGGCCTGAGACTCCTGAGAGCCTAGTATTCTTGCTTCAACAAAAGATACGAGCAAGATGTTGCCATTAACAAAATCTCCCACTGATAGTGGTTCAAACATGATAGCTCCCAAACACTTATTCATACGGTGACACTTTTCAATAAAAAATTTAACCGAAACACACAACTCCACCGCTATTAATAACGTTAGCGTGTACTTAGACACAAGCAAAATACGCTTTGTTCCGATCAGACTTTTGAATAGCCACAAAAGTTGGTTATCGCTGAGTGCGTAAAGTATTATTTTATTTTCTGTTGTATTCATTTCAGTAAATGTTTCAAATTTATCATATTGCCACATGTGTTTGGAGGTTGTTTTCAAAGGACCATAAAGCCCGATGATGGTTACAATTTTTCAGTATCAGTAGTCACGTTTCGGCGTTTAGTGTTTCATAGCCTTTGTTTACTTTGAGTATACCTATATATCGGATAGCAACTTGATAAAATTAATGATTGAACAATTATCCTAAAATATCTAATGAGTATATCTAGTAATGAGTCATGGATTACAAAGGAGGTTTCAATGAGTTTGTGTAGTTTATAATTCATTAACATAAAGGATTTTTAACAGTAACATGGCTTGGTTCAAAAAACTTTCTGTTGAAGTGCCCGTGTTACTAACATTTTTTGGAATGTCATTAACGGGTAAGTTTTTGAAAAGCAGTTACAGCGACTTTGACAGATAAAATGCAGTACTCCAACTCTTGTTCATACTTCATAACTAGTTATCTGCAACATCTTGCATAAAACTGTTTCATTCGAAATCTAAGTGAAAAGATTTATTAAAAAATCCATTTTATCGTTGGTATGATTGAGATGAGGTAGCTCATACGATTTTCTTTTTTGAATTTTGAACAATTATCCTAAATACCTAATGAGTATATCTGGTAATGAGTCATGGATTATAAAGGAGGTTTCAATGAGTTTGTGTAGTTTATAATTCATCAACCTAAAGAATATTGAATTTTCATAAATAATTTGTACCTAATAACACACTAATGTGTTAGAATTGAATTATTTTCCAAAGTACACTCTGACTCCAGTAGAAACAAACTGAAGATATTTATATAAATTGATGGTTGTAGCCGTTACTAAGTGGTAGGAAATCATAATGAAGAAAAGAGAAATGAAACTTTCTATGTTTTTTACCACTTTTATTTGTAACAAACGTTACTGCAATTTCGTCGTATACGGACGTATACTGTATATACTTATTGTATAAGTTTGAAAATGTCCGTATAGGACGAAACTGCAGTAACGTTATTTACAAATAAAAGTGGTAAAAAACAGAAAGTTCAATTTCTCTTTTCTTCATAAAGATATTTAGTTGTAATGTTTCATTTAGTTTAGGATAAGTTGTTTGAAAAACAATTGTAATTTTGAGGACTGTAGTAAAAACCTAAAATAAGTAATTTCATTGAGATATTGAATAGATTCATTTTATTGAGTTTCATTACATTTTCCGAGCATAATTCCTGAATATTATAATGAGATGGACCGAGAAATAATTACTTGACATGAACTCTCTCGAATTGACCATAGTAGCTGGTTGAGTAAGTGGTAAATGAACTGTAATTTCATTTTGTTTGAGTGATAACTTCTTATGGGAGGGTCAACCGCTTGGTAACGTAACGCATAATGGCGCCGGTATGTTCGGCTTCCTTTTCTCCTCACTCTAACACACAGCGCTATTAGCCGTATTTCGGACAAGCGTGTGGCAGATACCCGACGAAAAAACAAAAAATAACCCAGCTAATGCCGCGCAGAAAGTTGAAGTTCAACTATCAGGCACCTGTGCAACGTCTTCGATTTGGAGGATTCGTCGCAAGTTATTTCCCACTAGGAAAAGCAGAAATTTATTTCATTTGGACGCTACGTCCAACCGATAGACCGATAGACCCATCATCAGTACCGATCATGGTCTCTTCAGAACGGAGTGAACCGTCTGAGAATCACAAATAAATATAATTCGAACTAGTCACGAGTTCTTTCTGCAATTGATTCAGTGGTATTTCCACTGCGCCACTTGCAGACACAGCTAGGAAACAACTCCACAAACACATAGGTACTCCGGGATTGGATCGGAATAATGATTATTATAACTTGCGATTACTGGCGACCATAAAACAACGTAATTTCAAAAAAGAGTATATTATTGATTCGATTTGTGAAATACGTGGTCATATTCTGTTACGTTTGCCTCCATACTATTGTGTGTTCAATCCAATTGAAATGGTTTGGGTCACAATGAAAGAAAGCTTGCGGAAATGTAATCAGTCACCGACTTTGAATGCTATAGTGCTTGACAATATAAATCGAATGGTGAATGAAGTAGGTAATAGTGATGTGTGGAAGAACTGTGTGGCCCACGTTATAAAAGAAGATAGAGAAATAATTTTAATGTCTGACAACCACGGCTTTGTAAAAGAATTTTTTCATATGTTCCGAGAAAAACATTTCATATATCAAACTCATTCTAACTTTGAGGACACACTTTTTTGGAAACATTGCTTTTCACGTTTGCCGAGTGGAAGTATTGTCAATCTTAAAAAACGTGAAAAAAAAAACTTGAAAGTATCAGTATTGAATTTAAAAATATACAATCCATCGCAAACTTGAGACTGTAAGTTACGATACATCTTCACTTTTCAAGCAGAAACGCATGTTATAGAGAAATATTTCCAGAAACGTCTCAAAATAGATTGTGTTTTCTATAGCTAATCAACTGCTCGAATATACGAATTGGTCGGTCGGTAGCCGGTCGGTTCGACATGGGTGCTTTGTTCACTCACTCAAATCAACCGCCGTGTTGGTCGGTAGTTCAAGCCCCAGGCTGAACAATCCATTTCCACTTGCAATCGTCCAACCCGTGTTAGAAATCACACGTTAAAAGCTAAGACCTCGTTAGTCCTTAGCTCGCACAAGTTTCGACTTCTGAGGGTTGTAGTTCGTAGGGGTGCGACAGCTTGTTAACGGAAAACCAGATTTTAAACAGATTTAATAAAAAACTTTCACGGCCTGAGGTAACTATGACAAAGCTATTTTCCGAGTTTGTTCGCCGTGGTCTGCAGGTTTTTATGCCTGATGTACCGTCTACTACTGCGGTAGTAGACGGTAGACGGTACGTTGCGAACAGGCAACGGAGGAAGTGCTCCAGTTCTCCTCACATCAGATACTACGTTTTTGGAATATATCTCCTGTTTTATACCACTGAGGGTGGCTTCGTTTGTATTGGCTGAATTGAATTGTCTGATTTGTATGCAATTCAGAACCAGTCAGCGCGTTTCGACCTACCACAGGTCTCATCAGAAGTGCTACGCTGAACCACGATTGCATTGTTAGACTCATCTTGAGTAAGTTGTTGAACTGGGAGCAATTCTGTTTCATGAAAATTTGTGTAAGCTGAGTCAATTTTTCACCTACTATATCTGAAATCTAAAATATTCTATCGTTTTTGGGATGGAAACACTTGAAACTCGTGAGAAAAAACCATACTTGAAAATGAATCTGGAATCTAGAGAGTTTTGAAATATTCTGTTAGCTTCTTGGTAATTTCATCTACAAAAGTGGAAGTCATGAATCGTCGGCTGTTATTTCCAGACTGACAGTTTTGAGAGTAATCTGCCATCTGTGTAGATTATACGGATTATACGGATTTTAATATCCGATTGTATTTTTACTATCATTATTATTGTGTCACATGGAGATCTTGCTCCACGTTTACTAAGCCAAGTAATAGAGGTTTCAGATATTTAGCCTCAATTTTTTTCTTGAGATCCATTCAGTTTATTCATTACCACTTTACACTCTATTCACACCATTGAATTACATTCAGAGGACGTGCCAACAACATTGATCAGTGAGAACTCGTCAAATAGTAGGGAAAGTGATTATTGGGTCGGAGATACATGCTCTCTGAACCAAAAATGGCACCCTTGTGTATTTATCGGAAAACTGAGGTTCGAGACCAGAAAAGGCATCATCCTATCAGGGAATCATATAATCAGAACAACCATTTTAACAGAGTTGTTCCAATAAATTCTCAACTTTCATTTTATGCAATGAACTGAATATCTACCAGAGCTTAAGGCAATACTCATGTAATGCCAATATCTACGTAACGACGAAAGTAGACCGAAATCACATTTGCTGGATATGCCGACGAATGGTCGAAAAATGGTCTTATGTATCCCGCGGCGGGACGGCATCTGATGTCAATAACGTCTATATCCATCACGCTACTAAGGTACACCAAGATATTAAAGTTAACCTGATGTGTCATGTGTCCCGTGGTTTCCGAACTCAATCCAGTTGACCTGAGAAAAGCAAAGGACAGGTTTTTGGATGAGCCGAGGTCTTCAATTAGCAGTTGAAGTGCAGGATATTTGCTGAACTAATTTCAAGAATGTGACATCAAGCAACCAAGCCAAGTTCATTGATCACTCGAGCAAATACCTGAAATAGAAATAGGATTCGATATCTAGTCCAGCCAGAACCATTCATCAGTTGTGCAGATCTTCGTTCTCCAGTGTTTCCACTGTTTGTATGATGAAAGACTTTTGTGCACTAACTGTTTTTTGCCACTTCTACCACTTCTGCCTCTTTTACTACTTGATGAATATAAAATACATAATCCCTCAGGTTTTCGGCGGGAAGATCGCCTTGCTCGGGAGGTATTTCATACCACAGAACATGTATTCTTGCCATGTAACCACTTCGCACGGGCTTACTCTATTCGAAACAATAGTACAGGCTATTTCTTAGTTTGCTAGTCCACTGAAAGCATCTGCTGTCATTACGGTCATCTTCCCTAGACGAATCATGCCTACCTCCTTTCCTCTGGAGGGAAATATAAAGAAATATAGCCTTGTCACAGCACCAGTAATACTTATTGTTCCAGTTCAAGATTTAACATTGTACTGAATCTAAATACCTAATATTTAATTTTTAGGCTCGCTTTCGGCAAATCTTTTGATATACCGTACATGTTACATATTATTGGGATATGGAGAATCAAACTGTTCTTTGTTGGGAAACACAGACAACAATATCACACGGGCATTGGAGAAACTTGTCGAACCAACAGCTCAAACCATAGGAACAGTACAATCAACCGTATTGTCTGTTCCTATGATTCTACTCTGTATATGTCTGGGACCGTGGTCTGATAAATTTGGAAGGAAACCTATCTTGCTTCTATTTCAATTAGGTAAGGATTATTAATAATGTATATTCGATATTACAATGTTTTCTTTGAAGGTAGACATTCAAAATTCATGAACTTCCTATCTTATAATGGTTGATAAATGAGATTTTTTTCCAAAATTGACACAACAGAATTCTTCATCAGACGTACAGGCTTACAGTAAATTTGTTTTTATACGGATTTTACTTTGGTATCCATCCTTTTTGGTTTAAATGTCCTAAGCTGATTTATAAGACCTAATGTAATTCTTCAACTACTCCTCTGAAAGAATTGATCCAATATATATCACTAGAATGACATGATGAATACTTTTTTATACAAATGCGGGTTTTTCGATTGGTTGGGAACGGGATCAAAAAGAATCGTAGATAAACAATTTAGTTTTATGCCAACGTTTCAGACTTTATTAAATCCATCATTTTTTTACCTTTATATATCAACAAAGTCACTATGTTTTAAAAGGTTATATAGTTTCTGAAGGGTCCGGTAACGGACGCACAAGAGGCACGCGCAAAATATTGCACGGCAGCTCAGTCGGGTATAGGGTGGGTTGAACTCAAACACTCTCTATACCGATTAGAGAAAGGCAGAAAAATATATTTTTGTCTATATGAATAGGGCGCCGCCAAATTACACCTCATAAATCGTACCGCTTGTTTATCAAATCTGAGAATGAATCACAAATGTCTTCATCTGATTTTAGGAAGCAAACTTCATTACTTTTGAAATTAACATTTATCATCGTTATGAATTAGTTCATATGAAATAATTTAATTTTAACCCAGTAAACGCTTTATTATAAAGCCATACATAAATAAAAATATAGTAGGTGGTAGAAAAACTGGCCTCATTTTCATAATCCATAATCATTATTAATAAATCAGATTTTCTGTAGGAACTATTTAAACAGAATACATTTTCACCGATTATCAACTAAACCAACCGCCACTGTTTTATGGGCCAACTTACTTCCCGTAAACAAAGTTATGCTGCCTTCAATGTAAGAATGGAAAAGGCCTGTCTATAGTCTTTTGTTACTCTTAGGTAAATTATACTCGGCAACCAGTGAAACCTCATGAATACGACAATTTTAGGTGTTCCGCTATACACCAATAATATGCAACCCACGTGGCGTTTGAGAATTGACCTTTTCTAGAATTCCGAAGTCAGTTATACCACCGTATATAAGTAAACAGAAGTAAATTCACTCCCGTCGGTCTCTTTGATGTTTCGGGTCGAGATTTTATTTTTTGCTGGCATGTGGCGGAGCAGAAGGTTGTAGGATAAGTGCTGTTGTGCACCTCTGCACGAGGTTCGATCAAAAAATATGTGACCATGATCTGAATTCTGTGGCTACGAGGAGCTCCCATTAAATGTATCATATGATTGTGAACTGTTTAGGAATTCATAAAAAATAAGACAAGGTGGTGAAATAAACGTATATTTTATGTAGTAAGATTATACAATNGTTTTGGGTTGCCTAGTTTGCTAATTATGAAGTGTGTCAATCGAATGAAATTCTAATGTTTTTTGTTATTGATGACAGAATCTAAGAAAAGACATATTTGCTATTTATAGTAGATTATCTGGAACATGTAAATGGAAAGTAGGCTCCAAAAAAGGTTATATGAATATACATTTGATGCTTTAGTTTTGCAAAGATTTCAGTGGAAGTAATTGTTTTCCTATAGATACAAACCAAAACTTGATGCATATACTGGAGGCATATACTATTCGTAAAGTTCAATTTCATCAAATTAATTTCATAATAAAAAGTCTGCATATCAATGACTTCACTATATATGGTGTATAACAATTTATTTCATGATTTTCGTTATATGTTCATTACTTCAATCTAAAATAATAAATAATATACAAACATACCTTTTTTGTCAATTGGAAATCGAAAAAAATGAATGCCGACATCACCCTGCAAATTACAGCAACCCACAGCGTGACACTTGCTCATTTTGAAACTAGTCACAAATTTTTCACAAATACAAAATCACCACTTACAACGACTCACTCTGTAATAATTTGGCTCGCTTGGTAAACGCCTCAGATTCAGTCGGTTGCGCTGTAGTTCGGCCGCGCATAAAATTCGAGGTGGGGAATCTTGACCCAAATATGGCGGAGAGTGAACTTACTGGTGTTTACTTCTATACGGACAATTTACGACTCCCAACAAAAATTAACTCAACCAAAACCGAATATACGGTTAAATTTATTTTGAACCGTTACACACTGTCTCTTAGCCATTTCACTGAACGGTTTATGGAAGTTGAAAAGTTCGAAGAAAGAAAACTGTCAATAGATTTTGATAAGTCAGGTTGGGAATCCGCATTCCATTCGAGATAAACTTATAGTAGAATCTGTGAAAACTACTTTTCTGATTTGTTGATTGTGGTTTTTATGCATTACATTCCGCGTCTACAACTACCATCATTTCGATCAGTGACGGTTCTTGAACGGAGTCTCTAAACGATATTCTCTACCGTGCTAGGAATCGCACATTAAAAGATAAGACCATCCTCGGCACGCACAATTTTGAAATTTTGAAGATTTTTGTTCATAGGAGCGCATCTTCACCGGCAACAGGAGGTTGCATATCTTAATGAGGATCTAGAAGTGATTCAGAACTGTTCAAGAACTCTTTCATTTGAAGAACTACGTTTATGTGGAATAAACTTCCTGAGAACGTTTTTCCTATGGATTTGATCTCAAATCCAATGTGAATCGCTACTTTCGCACAGATACCGCTCTTAGAAGCTGTAGTGCTGTGTTTTGGTTCAAAAAAACAAATCGAATTGAACAGTTACTTACTTTGGGCATCATATTACCTTTCAAACATTAATTTTTGAAATCTTTTCAATGAGATTAACTGGGGTAGGACTAGATTGCGTCAATATTTAATGAAATATCATCTTAACAATATTTCCTATTTGAAATGAGTTTTATCTTCCAAATTTTCATTTCGTACAATTTTCAAATTGATAATATCAATAACACCTACAACGTGAAGCCTAAATACTTCATTTGATGATTGTCTTTTAGGAAGTTTATGCGGTTTTCTTATTATGGCTTTATTTAGTGCAATCCCAACTGTAAGCCCTTGGTATTTCTCAATCTCTGGGATTCCATCAGTGATCACAGGTGGATTACCTGCGTTTTTGACGGTAGCTCTATCGCACCTTACAGAAACTTCAACCCAAGAGACCAGAGGAATGAGGTGAGATTCTTTTCTTTATTATTTGTCCTATCATGTTTCACAAAGGGTAAATATTTTCTCACATTTTGTATTCTTGAGTGATGTACAGTATTTCTTCATTGTTCTGTCATTGTTTGTCGTGTTCGTACTTCCATAGAAAAAAATCAATGAAAATGGCAATAACAAAATTCTTATTGAATTTAATTATATGTAAACCTTCGACCAATCAAGTTTCAATCAAAACTCGGGTGATCAAGTGGAGTAGAATTCAATACTTTTTGTAAAGGTAGGTTTTTCTAGGGTAAACGACATTTTGTTAAATATCACAACTCTTAGGCTCCACCTACAAGGCACAAGTTTGGAAATGTTCTTTCTTGGGGTTTCAGTTAATAACTCTTTGATATATATCAAGCTTTCGGCAATGTTCATTGCCTTCTTCAGGACAACTGTAATATATAAATGTGTGATTGCATATAATTTGATAACATTTCATACTCACTATCGTGAGGATGAATGAAGAAATGGTTTTATATGAAAACAGGAAAAACATAAATAACAGGAAATGATGGAACTGATTTCGACATATTTTTAAATCAGGGAGGAAAATTTTGAACGGAGGGTGATGTTAGTTTTTCTTTTTGATTTTTCAAAATGAATGTATACATTTTACTGAGATTGTTGACGTTTGATCATTTATTCATTGTCTAATAACTCGAATCTGATAAGGGTCAATTAAACACATTCGAGGTTCATTGAAAACTATATTACCAAAATGAAATTCCAAATCACAGAGCCCTGTCCAAGGACGAAGCAGATTACCTGTATGTATGTATATATGTTTGTTTGTTTGTAACTCTCAAGCTCGGAATATGTANAGTGGGAAATAACTTGCAACGAATCTTCCAAGTCGAAGACATTGCACAGGTGTCTGATGGTTCTACTTCAACTCTCTGAGCGGCATTAGCTGGGTTAGTTGTTGTTTTTCCGTTGGGTATCTGCCACACGTACCTACAAAGTCGTAGGTTCATCCGTTGTGTACTTTTCAAAGGGATAGCACTTTCAAGATTTGTTACCGCACGTGATACGTAACTCTGTGAAGATGCTTTTTCGGATGTCCATCCGTTGTGTATTTTTCAGAGGTCGACGTTTTTGTCATCATCTCAGATGACATTCTCCATTAATATACAATTTTCGACAATGCCTATTGTCTTTGTCAATGCTGAAATGTAAGTTTTTACCATTTATATTAGGCATTAGTTATCTGACCATACACTTTTTATATTGTAGGTGTGATAAAGACCATAAACATTGTCGAAAGCTCTGTAGAGTGAAGAAGGATATTTTTGAGCCGAATAATTAAGAAGTAAAAGTTTAGTTTCCGATACCGCGTGTTAGACTTTCCTTGTACGTTTTTTCAGGATGGCAATCTTTGAAGTTTTCATGGCCTTTGGAACTGTGACAGGAAACTTAGCCGGATCAGCTTTATTTTATGTAACAAACTATGAGACTGTATTCGTTACAGCTGCAGTGTGCCATGCAATCGGATTTATCTATACCTTTTATTGTATACCTGAATCAGTTGAAAACGTGGAGACCGAGGTATGTCTAATTTATCTGGAATGAGTTTTTCACCATCATTGTGTCGTCTGGGATTTTCCGTTTCCGTTGAACCCAATAGTTTTGGACAGCTGCACTATACGTGTACATTTTATAACAATCTGATCATCATATTTATCTTGTTGCCACTCACCTTTTCTGCTTTCCACTTATTTAATCTAAGATCCATCATTATTTCATCTTCCATAACACATAAAAATATAACCCATAGTTTCATCTGAATACATCAAGAGATACCTCTCTCAAATTTGCTCAGTTTATCAAGTATCAAGCTGGAATGGTAATTGTCTCGCTCCATTTGAAAATGATTTTGTGAACTATTGGATCGCATTCACGAGTCGTATGAATTCAGCCCCATGGATGGAGATACTGTATGGGGCTGATTTCGAAAAATGTATTCATCTTGTATGAATGGAGTTTGAATTTCCTGTTGAACCCACATATGAAAAACGCACTTATTTTTTCACATTATCACTTCTCAATAAAGTGGTATTTCTTTTTTAGTACCAACCATTAGCGTTGGCAAGTACTTCCAAGTTTCAGCAATATGAAGCCTGCAATAACGTTATGTCAAAGGTAAGCGGGTTCGAAATTTCTGTTTTACATAACCATGGGCAATTTTTCGAAGAATAACAACCAATGATTTTTTCAATAAGTTACCCTTAGGTAGGTGTCAAACGCCTAAATTTCATATATTTCTTTAGTAAATTATGAAAATTAGATATATAGATAGATGTATAGTTTATTAATCTCCACAGATCATTCACATCGCATGAGAAAAATCGGAAAGTTTTTATTCAATAGATATTTACACATAAGGAAACTAAATAATTGATTGAACATATACAGACAAATTTACAAATATGGTATGTGAGTCAAGGGGAATTTATCATGAAATTGTTGAAAGTGATTGAATATGAGAAGTGAAGAGGTTCGAAACGAGTATAAGATGTGTTTGAAAGTTCAGTAGCTCTTTGATGCAGTCCTCAATGTATTCATTTAGTGAAAAAAGGACTGAAGAAGTGAAAATATTTCGAGTCATTTTAATAAAGGTATGTGAGTCAAGGGGAATTTATCATGAAATTGTTGAAAGTGATTGAATATGAGAAGTGAAGAGGTTCGAAACAAGTATAAGATGTGTTTGAAAGTTCAGTAGCTATTTGATGCAGTCCTCAATGTATTTATTCATTTAGTGAAAAAAGGAGTGAAGAAGTGAAAATATTTCAAGTCATTTTAATATAGGTTTTTGGAATTCCTTGTTAATTTTATAGATTCAGAAAGAATGTTATAAAAATACACTCCTGCATAGAAGGGGGGTTTTTGTGAATCATGTTTTATTAAAATGATTTAAGTGTTTGTTGGTTTTTATATCTAGTATGGTTGTAGTGAAATTCACTATTTTTTGTGAATTATATTTATTATCGTGTTAGGAATCACACGTTAAAAGGTTAGACCTCGTTAGTCTTTAGCTCGCACAAGTTTCGATTTTTCAGAGTTGTCGTTCGTAAGGGGGCGACAGCTGCTTAAAAGGAAAAACAGATAGAATGTGTAAATATATAAATACATGAGAAAGTTGAAATACTGCTTTTTTTTAAAGTATTTGACTCTTTTATAGGTAGCTCTGACCGAGAATTGTATTACCATACAGTGATCAGTGTCACTATTTTTATTCGGGTTTGGAGGCCGCCCAATTTTGGAATTTCTTCCTGACGATTCGCTTGCATGAGTGGCTAGCTTCTTCAGAGATTTATACATCCTGAGTTATTCTTGCCAGTCATCACCTCTGAAGAAGCTAGCCACTCGCGCTAGCGAAACGTCAGGAAGAAATTCTAAATATCAACGGCCTTCGAAGTCGAAAAATAGTGACACTGAAAACCACGGCCGGGAAAGCATTAACCATACAGTGATGAAGAGAAAAACGTCGGAAAACTCATGTACTGGAATGCAAAGCTGAATTTGTTATTAACATTGCTACAAAAACCGATGAAATATAACTCAACGTTTGTATGAAAGTAGCTCTTTCGAGAAGGCTTTTTCTTTCAGTTTGTGTGTGAGAGTTACTTCTTTGCATGATCTAAACATCTTTGTATAGAGTTGATTTTTTGAAATTGGATGCTTCCTCCATAATGTCAGTTTTTTTAAACGAATTCTCTACACGTTCCAGCATATCCTCTGGGATTCCCCTGGAAGCTCTTGTGATTCTTCGTATCATGTCTTCTATATATGTTGGAGAAGTTTAGTAGATAATTCATTTGATATACCCCCATTAATTAATCCATTTTGATCAGGTGAGGTGATCTGGGTAGCCACGCCACAGGCCCACACCTACCTATCCATTTTTTATTGAAATGATCAGGGTATTCCTGTACCTGAGTTTTAAAATGTGGTGGTGCACCGTCTTGTTGTAGCCACATTCAAAGTCTTGTTCCATATGAAACCCCGTTCAATAAATTCAAAAACTCATGCCGAAAAAATTCTACATATTTTCTTCCTGTGAGATGCACATCCGAAAAATACAGACCGATAATTTTTTTTCCGAGAATTCCATCCCAAACATTCAGTGACCAACTCTGTTGATGGTTCAGGTAACGAACAAAATGGGAGTTTTCCGTTGCATAAAAATGCATGTTATGGCACAGTTCCGTTTTTATGAAAAGTCGTTTCATCAGTTATAACAAGAAATCGAAAAAATAATTTTCCTGACTGATATTTTCTAAGCGAAATTGAACACGTTTTTCAAAATCTCTTCCTCTTAACTCTTGGATCAATTGAATGTGGTAGGGATGAAATTTGCTTGCTCGTATTCGAGACACGCTGGTTTGAGAAAATCCTAATTCCCTGCTCAGGTCTCGGGTACTCACATGGGGTTTTCAACAAGGTGAAGAGCAATTTGAAATGTATTTTCTTCATTTGTTACAGGGCAGACACGTTCGAACTTCTCGTAATTGACATTACAAGTTCTTTCAAATCTTGTTTTTAGAGCCTGAAATGAAATAAAAATGAAATGATAACTGGGTTTTTAAAGAAAAAAGCAGAATAAATATTCTTTAGGTTTTTTACGCGTTTCTTACCGTTGAAACCGCTGATAACTGTCACTTGATGGTATGAAAAATGCTAATGTACTAGCGATTAGTTGGAATATTCGAAAAACAAATTTGAGTAAGAGAACGTAAGAAAATACATTGTGGTTACAACAATTACTAAAACTTGGTATAATTTGTAAAATTCCAGTTTTTCGTATAGTATACCGATAAAAAATGTAGTGAAATGTTGAAAAATTTCATACAAATGAAAAAATACAGGGTGTTATATTTGANTATGTGTGGTATACCTGTATGGTTTACCTGTATAGCATAAATAGCGTTAGCTTAGGGAAGTTTCCAGTTTACTCTCCCTCTTGAAGATGATCACTTGTGATCGAAACACGTGTCGAGGTGTTGAAAATAACGATTTGGTGTTGGGAAAAAACTCCAGTAATATGTAGTGTTATATTTATATTTGTATTGTTTTTTTGTGGTGAATAAATATTATTATTAAGATTCGTTGTAGTCCACGCCAAAAATGAATCTCAATGAATCAAGCTTTGTAAAATGCTTCAGTTTATCTACCCCATGTGATGTTACAGCTCATTGCCGTGTAGTCAAGAGCGTGATATATTATATATTAGTCAGATGACTTCTGTGGAAGCTTCATTTGGAACTGATACATTCGTAATCTAGCTCTGTGCCAAGGAATTTATATACTTCCTGCTGATATGATTTTGGTGTAGCGAAGTTGAACTTTATGTTTTTTAATAGCTTTTTGGGACTGCTGAATTCAATAAGGCTCATTTCATTCACATTATTGTAGTTAACTCCCTTACCACTAATTGAATGTCACTCATCAAGTCCATTTAGTAGTTGAAATGATTATTGTATCATCTGCATAAATGCAGACTTGCCATTTTCTATGTGGCAGGTAAATCACTGATATAGAATAAGAACAGCTGATGGGGTCCCAGTACTTCCACCTTAAGAAGTCCCAATGGGACTTCTCAATAAAGGTTGTATGGTAACACGAATGCACATTGCTTCCACTTTATCTTCAAAACATATGAGTATGGTCAAAAATACTCCCGCTAGTCCTGCCACATATTTATTTATATTAATTCTGTATCGGCACGTATTTTTTTGGAAAAAACCGATGCTTGGGTTTTTAAGGCATTAAATTGAACTTGGTTAATTTCACCCCAATTCGAAATCACTTTTAGATCCTCATTAAGATATTCAATTTCCTGCTGCCGGTGAAGATGTGCATTCGTAGCCGATGTCCTGGAATCCAAATGTAATGAAGAAACAAGTGGGGTGTCGTCAACAAAGCAATATATTGAATAATAAGCGCAATAGATTTTGACTCTCCATGTTTCTCAATTGCGTTATTCCAAATATGGGTGACATACGATAGAAGGTCGCCTGTTGATCTTTGTTTCCAAAAGCCATATTGATGAACGCTCTAGATGTTGAAGCCTTCAAAATATTTAAGGATATGGTAGTTTACGGCTCTCTCCATAATTTTTTATATTACTGATAGCAAAGCGACTGGCCCATAGTTATTTGGAAGAGTTTTCTTGCCCTTTTTAGGAATAGGCTGAACGCGAGCAATCTCCCAACAAGAAGGAAACACCTCTTTCTTGTAAAACGGGTTGAAAAGTCTGCAAAATACTGGTGCGAGTTCCTTAGTGCACTTTTGAAGTACGATGACGGACACTTCATCAGGGCCAGACGCCTTGTTGATATTGAGCTGTTTCAAAATTCGCCTGACTAGACGTTGTCGAAAAGTAATTTCCGGCATTGTATATTCTAGTGGATGGTGCCTTTCCCAGAAAATCGACTGTGGAGTGGGACGCAAATTGTTCAGCTAGTAGATTTGATTTTTCTATGGCTGATATTGCAATTGAACCATCCGTTTGTGTTAGTGGTGGAACTGTGGATTTTGTAAAGTTCTGGTTAACAGCATTAGCAACCGACCAAAAGTATCTAGACCCGTTGGGATTGACAAGCAGTATCTTAGCAAGCAGTATTGGCAAGCAATATCCTTGAATCTTTTCATAAAATAATTCATTAGTATTTTTGGAATAATCCTATTCTATATATTTTTTTCCAATTAATTTTTTCAGAATATATGTCATTGTGATATACGAATAGATTCAAAAATTTATCTTTTCTTCCAGCATCACCTTTTTGTGTATTTAAGTTCCTATTCAAAGTCGGCCTATTTTATTTCAGGGCAAACTTAAGGGGTTACTCCAAACGAAGAATTTAAAGGAAATGGTTAAAGTCGCCATCAAAAGTCGAGAAAATTTCAATACACCAAAAATATTAATGATGGCATCAACATCTACAGTGATGGTTTTTTGCTTGTACGGTGAAGGTTCACTGATGTTTCCTTACCTCAGGAAAAAATTACATTGGACATTAACCATGTACAACATATACGGTAGTGTCAGTACTGTGATAGGAGTCTTCTCTATCCTATTTCTTATCGGTATTTTACATAAGTGGATGAAGATTAGAGAATCTATATTAATTCTCATCGGAACTTCGTCACGTCTGACTGGAAGTGTAGTGGATGCCCTAGCTACTGAATCCATTCATATTTATGTTGGTGAGTATAAAATCTTCTTCCGAACTTGAGTCAGGCGCAGATTCAACACACCATTCTAGGGGAAAACAAACCGTACAGGTTGCCTACTTTAATGGGCAACTAACTGTTGGAAAAATGATATGAACAAATTGAACATAGCCATACTAATTATCATTTTAACTTCGAAAAATCTCTTCATTTTGAGTTCTTTTCATGTGTTTTACTCTGTATTATTTTGCAGTAGAATCCTGGGCCTTTTTTGCCTGATCCTGGGGATGTGATAAAAGTTGTACTGACCCCTCTGGATCCACGCCTGATTTCACCCCACATCTTTTCAGTTTTGATATTTCAGTAAATGAGAAATACTTGTCAATTTTATTATGATCAAAGACTATTATGCCATAAGGCCAGTAAATTTTTTAAACGTATGAATTTTTGACATTGAAATCCTTAACCATGACAGAACGAGCAAAGTGATCTGAGGGAAATATACCTGCGCGCAATTTCTTGCCTATACAGAATTTACTACCATCCTGTAAGTCTATCATGCGTAGACTAAGTCTGACAGGCTCAGTGTAATTTTTTCGGGAATTATTTTCCATATTTTTCTACGTTGATTACAATAACTTTTTACAAAAGCTAATCTCCTGGATTCAAACTTTCAAGACTGAACGAAAGATGTTCTTAGTATTTAGTAATTTCAAGATCGATTAACCCACATCACCACTCAATACAGATATTGAGATGTCTAGTGATGGAAATAATTCACCATCTGAAGCAAAGTTGAACTTGCAGGTGGTAGGTCGGAGAGGCAGCAAAATCATGGTCCCAGACTATTCTGGTCGCATCGTTGATTCGTATAGAAACGACAAGAAAGATAGAGATAAGGTTTTCAGTCTTATAAATTTGTCTGAATGGTTGAAGCTCCAAAAATCCAGGAATTATTCAGAAAAATACAGATCCGAATGAAAATCTGAACACCCCAGCCAATCTTCACACAAAAAAGTCGATAACATATTGTTACGATTTAAAGAATTAACTGTCTTAAACAAATTTATTTTTAACAATACTTCACTATCACAACTAATTTATATACACTACTTAGCAACTAACGCTTAATTTATCTACACTGTTAGTTAACCGCTCGATTCGCTTTCTAGATACAGACTGACTGACTGCCGCTCGAGACGGAGAGCGGCTTTTTTATATCGTCAACGAATGCTCCAGATCTCTCTAGGGGTTTCGGCACTGGCCTAGACTATTCGCGGTGGCTTGTCGAGTGCATTCCTTTTGCGGTGAGTCATTGTTTATTCGCTGGCTGAGATATCGGTCAGGGCCGGCTTCAAATTCGTTACAATATTTTGTTATTAACGCGGTGTCCTGCTAACGAAGGGCATACTGTACTGTTATCAGCAATCAACATCCTTATCACCGTTACAATTTGCCGCAAACTAGTCATGAGAATGAAAAGAACATTTTGTGGGGTTTGTTGCAATGTTGAAAGAGAATCCTTGCCGCATTATAGAACCATAAACATTCTCGTTTCAGGTCGTTGAGTCATGAAGATCTGAATGCTCTTTTTTCCTCGAATGGCATTTTTCGATACGTCTTCAGTGTTGGATATTTTCAGGTTGTGCCGCTTTTATTGTTTTGATGATGCCACAATCAGAGCTCAGAGGAGGAAACCCTGCAGGGGATATATCTTTTGTCTTCGAACATTCTTAAGAAATTGTCAAAAATATTATATCATTGGCGAACTGCCTCTAATCAAAGTGTCGCGTACCTCATAGATTCGGTAAAGAGGTCGAACAGAAACAATACTACTGATAACTGGTTCGATTATATGGGACTAGTAACACTGGAAAATCGGTGTTCTGCAAAACTCTGCTATCGTTTGATCTAAACCTGAATATCAATCAATCAATCAATCAATACTTTAGTGTCATAAAGAACAAGGAATACTTGTAGACAAAGTACTTATATAAATAAAACACTAAATGCTAAAAGGTACAATTTGTCAGTCAACATATAGTATAAAAATCCTTAACAATAAGATAAAAAATAAGTAAATAAAATAAGAAATAATTAGATTAAAAGCTATCTGCATGAAATTCTTCCAAAGTATAATACGGGCGACTACACAGTAAGAAGTAAACAGCCTTTTTAAAATTATCTAATGTGTTAATGTATCTTATAAAATCATGTAAGTGATTGAACATCTTGCAACCATTATAAATAATAGAGTCCTTCACTAAAGTAGAGTTCGGCTTGGGTAAGTTAATACTGTTTTGCTTCCGTGTAGGATAGCGGTTAGCCGTATTGAATTTATTCAGATGTTTTTTGATCAGGCAAACTGTCTCCGCTATGAATATGGCAACAACAGTATGTAGTTTATGCAATACAAAAAGTGGTTTGCATGGATCACACGCCTTAGCTTTCGAAATGTATCTAATTGCTCTTTTTTAGCGTAATCAGGATGCTTTTCATGAAATTATTATTGCATACTCCCCAAAATGGGGAGCCGTATCTGAGATGGGATTCAATTACTGCATGGTATACTATTTTTGCATCAGAGGATCCCAATTCCTGCGATATCATTTTTACAGCAAAACAGCCAGTGGCCAGTTTTTTATTTAAATTCATTGCATGCTCTTCAAATTTCAAGTTATTTTCAATGAATACCCCTAGGAACTTGGTGCTGTTACGGCTCCCTATGTAACCTTTATCCAGTTCGATGCTACCAAGATCACACCTGAAGTATGATATATTGGTTTTTGAAACGTTGAGAGCAGGGAGGTTTGAGTCACACCAACTTTTTATTTTTTCCATATCGCAGTTTATTTTTCTTTCCAGGTCAATAGTATGTTTGTCATGCCATAGAATAGTGGTGTCATCTGCAAAATTTGTAAATGTACCCGAGATATCTATTCTCATCAAGTCATTTATGTATAACAAAAAAGGGTGGGGCCCAGAATGGACCCTTGTGGTACACCACAGTTTACTATTTTCTCTGAATTTATCAAAATTTGCTTTGCTGTATATTCGCCCATACTTATGTAATTTTGGTTGAGTAAAGCAGATGTCATATGAACTTAAAACCGCTTCATGGTCAGATAAACCGGCACTTATAGCACTTATAACTTTGATCAAAGTTTTGATCTTCCCCTTGAAGATGATCACTTGGTGATCGAAACACGTGTCGAGGTGTTAAAATAACAGTTTGGTGTTGGGATAAAACTCCAGTAATATTCTTTACAAACACAATAGTACAAAAAAGAGTATATACTGAAACAGATGAGAGAAAAATCAAATGTTAAAGTTGAAAACAAGATGTTGATTCGAAGAATTCATGACAAAATACGTTCTGTCAGGTTAAGGTGAAACACATGAGATAGTAAACTTGGCATAAACTGAAATCATTATTAAACACTATTATTGAATCATATTATTTTGGGAAAAACTATGGTGACAGTATTTTGAAAAGGAATGAGTTTTATTGGCTTATGAGCCTCTGAACTGGAAGTTATTCTTATACAAACCAACAAATCCGCTATATCTGGTGATTTTGACAATTCATATTTCGTTTGTTACTTTTCATGGTCGATATGAAATCCTTAAAGTTTATATTTGTTTTATTATAGGTGCTTTTGCTAAAAGTATCAATGGAGTGACAAGTCCGATGGTACGAACCCTAATATCAAAGTTAGTAGAGAGGGAAGAAGTTGGAAAAATATTTTCCATAATGATGATTTCTGAGTTTTTGATGGGATTATTCGCTTCACCTTTATACACATATATTTTCAATAACACTATAAATACAAAACCAGGACTGTTTTATTTAGTCAGTGCGGGTTTCTATACCTTCAGCATCTTCATGATTGGGTAGGTAGATCTTAAATGTAAATTTTCAAAGTTTAACGAAACCGACGAGTTTCAGTCATAAGTTAATGTTGCTGTGACAAAGTTGAAAATACGATGATTTGATAATTTCTTTTACTGATAAGTTGTTGTTGGAAAATATATCTACATCGATTTTTGCATAAACAGAATGAATTCTTTTTGCGATCGTACAAGAGGAGAGTTTGTTCCAATATTTATCCTTTTTTTCATGTAACTGAAAAATTCTTTTCTCCGAAGGCTCCTTGGTGAAACATTGAATTGTAATTGTGACAGTAATTCTTGCAAGTCAATTGGTTTTAATGATTTTGAATCGATTTTTTAATTTTTCCAACCCTTGCTTGGTGATTAGTGTGAAGTTATCCACAACTTTTCATCCACAGTTTATGACGAAGGACAATCGAACAGGGTTTAGAATGAGATTTGCGAACAGTGTTGCCAGATNTAAATTCTATATAGTGTTATTTATGTTGATCTATTTTAATAAAATATATTGCTTGAATAGAGCTTGTTCAACTGTCGTTTTGGAGTTAGAAACTCCCGATATGTGTGAAATTACCCTCGAAAAGAAGAGTGATCCTTTTTTGGTCTATATAACGAATGTAAAATTTGTGATGTTTTCTCTAAGACGAAACGTTGGATTTAAAAGTGTTTTCGAAACTAATCGGAATTCTCTGAAATTCAAAACGTCATTTGAATAAGCTCTAAAATAGGAAACTCTTTTCTAATTCAATCGACTTATTATCTCTCATAAAAAAGTTATATGAAGTACTGGTGATATTTTGACCCCATCTATACATTCCCGAGAGGAAAAGAGGAAGTCCAGGGACACCCTGTATATTGAATTCTTTTTGCGATCGTACGAGAGGAGAGTGTTCCAATATTTATCCTTTTTTTTGTGTAATTTAAAAATTCCTGTCTCCGAAGGCTCCTTGGTGGAACATTGAATTGTAATTGTGACAGTAATTCTCGCGAGTCAATTTGGTTTATAATGATTTTGAATCGATTTTTTAATTTTTCCAACCCTTGCTTGGATAGTGCAAAATTTCCGTATTGTTTGGATTCGTGAACTCGTGGTTGCACCCCGACTACAGTAACGTTAGTTACAAACGCAAGTGGTATAAAAACATAGGAAATTCAATCTCTCATTTTTCATGATCTTCTACCGTGTACCGTGAGAAATAACATCTGCTACGATTGTTGGTTCCGAGTGATGGAATTTTTTCATCAATCGAAGTCAGCAATTGTATGGAATTCCTAGGCCAACTGAAATCGTATGGAGTTGCTGATTGGCCTAAAAACTCCATACTTGTAACTTTACTTCAATAGCTCACTTTTTTTCCTTTTTTTGTTGTTACTGACAGTGTCCTTTCGATAGTTAAGAGGGGCATAAATTGTGAGCTACTTTTCAAAGATTTTCTTGTAAAATAATTTGGAGCCTATTGTGAATAGAATTTAGAAAATTCCACAAAAGAAACATTTTATTGCGAACAGTCGTGATGTTTTTGGAAAATTTTGTACTTTGTATTTTTTGGAAATTGTTTGTCTGATATCATTATAGATTATAGGAATCTAACCTAATCATTTTTTCAGCATTGTTATGATATTGGAATTTAAAAGTTCTACCAATGTTTACAATGAGTTGGAAAACGAACCAGAATCCCAAGTGGAAAACTTAATCGCAGCGAGCGCTTAAAGTGTATACAAGACGTATACTGCCTTTGTATGTGATATTTTAATGTTCATGAACATTTTTCATTAAATTCTATATAGTGTTATTTATGTTGATCTATTTTAATAAAATATATTGCTTGAATAGAGCTTGTTCAACTGTCGTTTTGGAGTAAGAAACTTCCGATACGTGTGAAATTACCCTCGAAAAGAAGAGTGATCCTTTTTTGGTCTATATAACGAATGTAAAATTTGTGATGTTTTCTCTAAGACGAAACGTTGGATTTAAAAGTGTTTTCGAAACTAATCGGAATTCTCTGAAATTCAAAACGTCATTTGAATAAGCTCTAAAATAGGAAACTCTTTTCTAATTCAATCGACTTATTATCTCTCACGGTTTCCGATTTGTCTATATTGCCCCTCCCTGTTTTGGACATACACCTTATATTTTTCGGTTGAATATATATTACAAAAAATGTAGAATAAGGCATAATTTCGACGAGAGACCAACTTGTAAATGTGCTTTATAGAAATGTTTTTATCAAGATTTAAAGAAAATATATTGTCGCTGACACATTATACATGCATTACTATTATCCTGCTTGAATTGAATTGATATTGATAATAAATTGTACAATTCCAATTCATTTTTAATGTCTACTTTTGACAGACAAGCCCCTCTTTAAAAAGTTAGAATTACCAAACCACCCGCTCCTTGGCACACTCAAAATATCAGACTTCTTATGGAAGGACTTGATAAAGCCTTTCAAAAATTAAAAAAAACTAAATCTGTTAATGATCGTATGAGGTATAAAGAATTGAGAAATTATACCTTGTCAATAGTTAGAACTGAAAAAAGGACATATCTCAAGTCTGTCTGTTCTGAAAAAATACCACGCAAAACCTGGAATGCTCTTTCTAACCTCAATGTTCGTTCAAAAAAACAATA